TACAAATAGAGTACGGACTGCGAAGGCTGTGAAGCGTTTAGTGGCATAGACGTGAAAATCACAATTTCGAGTTCTTTCTTCAAATTTATGTGGGAAAAGAATTTTCAGGCGAAAGTCGAAGGTTTTACCACTGAAAGCATATAATTTTCGGAAGCAGTCTTCCACGACAGTCTGCACGAACCCAGTAAATAAACGTACAACCAACTAAATTCTATCGACCGCACAGAAAGTAACAATTATTTGACCCGGAACCATTGACGTAGCTCTAGCAATGAGTGCATGGATGACCTCCGTACACCGGTGCCACTGCATTCTGTGCCGCTCTTATTATCGTCGATAGGTTGAAATAGTCTCGATGAGTCAAACGTTTCAAGAATCAATGTGATATTTTGTCTCCATCACCACCTCCGCTGCCACCGACGCCGCCCATATCATGTTCCTCTTTCGACTAATTGTCTGTTCATATTGATTGTCATGAGTTTAAAAGCCTTCCCGGTCGCGAACGTGAATTAGGGACTCTATAACGTGGTGGAGGTTATTGTACCATGCGCGTCTGCTCCCGTCCATGTGACGATGTGCGTAGTCCACCAGGTCAGACAGTCACTTATCTATACAACCATAGACGCACACCAGCGAGCGAGCGAGCGAGCGCTCACGCACGTACAGCATAAACGTGATCGGTTCGCACTGACCAGGCTGGGTTTTCTCAGGTCAGCTCACGAATTCGATCGATGATGACCTACACTCGTCCGCCCTCACCCTTGCGGTTCGTGAATTGCAAAGTAGTTACGGCCGGCGGGACGGCGCGGGGGTCAACCGTCGATTTCATCGAGCAATGACTTTGAGCATCAGGAAGAGAGAGAGCGATGAATAAGTGAAAACTGATGGATCGACCAAATATTTGAAACTGTGCTATGCAGAACGATGGTCTCTTTTGGTCGAATTCAGAGGGAAGTCGATTAGTCAGCTACCGTTTCGGTAAACAAAGCTATGCATTGATTGAACAGTGAACATTGATTGAACATTAACACAATTAGGGTATGTCGAATAATCGCACGGACTATACCAGATTAATTCTGACTAGCTAATCTCCGTCTTCTATGGGGAACTGGTTGTCCGGATTTCATCAACTGTTTCGTTCATTTAACTTCCGCACATTATGTTTTATAAATATACTTGTATATGAGGTTATCACTGATGCATGTTTAACGAGTACAACTTCTTGCAATAGGCATCGGTACGAGATGCTCACATAATAGAAGAACTACTTCAGAATCACGTGCATCTCCTCAAATAGATTGAAGTGGCTTTGTAATCTACTTTCATGTGAAGCCCATGCGCGCGCGGGTGTGTGTATGCGTGTGCGTGCATCAGCTCTATCACCTCCACTCGGCGCTACNCTGTGACTTGTTCACTGAAACACTTGTCTTTGATGCATAGATTCATTCTGCTGTAACTGCAACAATAAAACGATTAGTTCACATTCCGTAGGAACATATTAACGAATTCCAGTCATATGCTTGCGTCTGTGGTAAAGTTGAACCTCGCACCATGGATTGAGGCTTTTCTAAGCAAATGGTTATCACGCGTTCTACAAAGTTCTATCTGATGAGATTGGTCTCAGATTGGGGGGAAATCAAATAGTGCGTGTCCATTAGCCAGGACAGCAGACTACAGTCGAATTGATTTTACCCTAAAGTAAAATAGGATAGGCATGTAAGTGTGACAGAAGTTTGTGACTTCGCTTTATTCTCTACCCAGTCGCTGTAAACATGCCTGAAACTAAACAGACATGATCATTGGTTTGTTTGATAGCGGACTCGAATAATACTCATATAAATGATGTTGGCAGGAGCTTGTGGAGAACGCTCTGTGTTAGTGATAATTGACTCCTAGTGATGATTTTCTCTATGAGCATGCAGGTGAGTGAAGTAATACTTTAGAAACCGATGTTTATAACCATGCTAGACACCATTGGAGTCCTTTTACATTATTCCGCGTCCAAAATAAAGCAAATAAGTGAAGTCATCATCAATTGCTGGTGAGGAAACCGAGTCATAACCTTGGAGTCTAGTGCTGATATCAGCGAGGACCAATACTTGCAAAAAGCCCACATAGATGAATTTTGCTATATCGTGTATATTCATAATGAGATACTGTCTGATCAGTCGCCCGGTGGTCGAGTGGATAGTATGCCTGCGTTCTACCTGTGAGATTCCTAGTTCGATCCACATTTGGGTCCATGGATTCGCCTTGCTGATGAGACCCACCAGGTCGAAACAGCTGTCCAGCACCTTCCAGTTTTTCAGCTCACGTCTCATTTACACAACGAACTCATCTTATAAACCAATGAAATTTTCCGTTACTTTCATACGAATGACCAGTACCAGAGCCGATGTGATTCATAGTGGTTTTCCCACAACACCCATCCTCTATGACTTAACATTGATTTATCGGTGAATTTACCTTTAGAAGGAGATAAAGTAAACCGGTTTAGAGTTAGCAAGCATTCTAGATCGATCCTAAACTGCCCTGGTGATTTATGGTTAAACAAAAGCTGTCCCCCATAATTAGGTAAGTATGAACATATTCCACAAAAGTTTCAAAAGTAACATTAAAATTAGAATTTAATGCATCGGTGGGTTTACAGTTTCCCTTCATTGAGTTGCCTGTTCCTCTGTGTTGTTATTGATCGCACGTTTGTTTACATGACCTCAGGCCACCTGGCTGTACGCCTGTGGCCCGAGGATGTAATACTATTGACCCAAACAGACTTGGTACTGGGTACATATTCATAACAAATCAACTCGCAACCTATTGAGAATGGGATTATGAGTAACTCTGATATACCACATTTATTATCGTCTCTGCTTTTATTGTACGGTTCGTGTGCGACTGAGTGGATGTGATCGATTCAGGAGCCTGTGATGAGTGAAGCTTGTGAAAGCGATGACCCTGTTTATGTAAGGTCACTAGGTTAGGCCTGGTAGCAGCAGCAGAAGAAGCAGTCTGCAGTTCAACATATTAATGCATTTTCAACCAAGCACGTATTTCGATTTATCGAACAGACCAAGCAAAAATTCAGTCAAATGCAAACTTTTCAGGCGGTACATAATTAAGTTTACTTTTTAATCCGAATAAAGTGATATTTAGTTTAGATAGTGAATGCTTGGATTGGCCCACTCGGTTTTTCACAAGCACGAGTTACTGTTGTTGATGTTCGAGATGGGTTTCACTCCTTGAAAACTCATTAATTCCCCACTATTTGATTACATTTAAATGCGTTGGAAATATTTGTGATAACCGACAAAGAGCACTGGACATCTGTTTCGTCCTGTTTGGGACTCGTCAGCCGTGCGTACGTTTTCTGTCCCTGTCCGGACTCGAACCGCGATATTATATTAACCACCATCAAACCATGACCATCGTAACTTCAAAGGTGTTGCGGTGTGTTACGGTGAACTTTCATTTCCTCCGGACATTTTTTTGACTTTCAATAGTCTTGCTCCCGGAGGGGTTGTCGAACGATTACCAAATATAGAACTACCACCGATAGATTATGTCCTAATGCTAGTTTGAGGCGTTTCAACTTTGTCTTCGAATGAACATATTTTTCCAAATCTATCAAGAACAATGAACTACTGAGAGAATAAAAATATACTTTAGAATAATGGGCCACAGCATTCTTCGCATAGCTCTAGCTAATCTGCACTTAGAAACAAGAACGTAACTGAATTGCCAGAGTTTCAGTCAAACCTTTTATGAGGTTCATTCGGCTCATGGAAAACGAAAATAAACTCCGTAAATGAATTATTTTATTCCGCAGGAGTGAATTATTAGACAGTCGAATAAGTTTAATTGGTGAACTTCATAGCCCGTTTCACGTGTGATACCTCTGAAAATATATACTTTTCAGTAACTAGTGTGAGTGCGTTGGTGGTATTGTGTCCCCCGGGTGTGAATGTTTGTAGTAGACATGGGGAGGAAAATGAGGAAAACGGCGTGTAGAAATACAAGATTTTGAGATAAAATAAAATGGGAGTTCGGTTGGTGTGGATAAGAATGAAATACAGTGCGAGACAGAGTTAACCCTAATGGTGCCACATTGGTTTATGGCGCACAGTTGATGTGTCACGCCTGGCACCGCAAAGCTTTTTCGGAGTTTAACAGTCTTGCAACTATGTGCGGTGGATATCTACTGAGCATGCTTTGGCTTCAATCCTGGCTATTGGTAAGCAATCTGAATTAAATGAGGATAATACGATATGGTCAACAAATTTTGAAAATAGCTTTAATCAATCCGAGAAAATGCTCCTGATGAGATTAAAAATGTTCAAATGCGAATGATTAACAAATAATTCTCATGTCAAAATGCACTTACTTTCATTCCGCCAAATCGAACAAACAATACTAGTTCCCAGTCCAATTGCAATTGGAAAGCAACAGGTCGTTTCAATGTCTGCTGTTACATCAACCTGAAAACTTAAAAATAGGTTAAAAAAAGTGCTAGAATAAACCTCGTTTGTAGGAAGGAACGGTTTGGTTCGTAGTCTGCTTATGTCGAAGGTATTGATGAGTTTGGCTCTCATCCCCGTAACTTAACATCCATTCGCAGTATCCCGGCGACAATCACTGAGTGGTGAGGGAGTGGTTTGAATGAATGCGAGATCGTGGTGATATTGATGAAAACAGAGGAACATTAGTTTATACATATACAGACTATCTGTAAGCCTGGCAAAGTTATCCAGATGTTTTCAAAATGTAGTTTGATTGGAAAATTCAGTTTCTATCAACTTGGTAGAAGAACTATTCAACGCGGCACACATCTCGCCGGATTAAGAAAAATGGTGTACATTTTTGCGAGCATGAGGAAACTGGTTGACGTGGAATACACATCGTTATTAAACGGCAACCACTCGAAAGAAATTGCATCTCCTCCTCTCTCCCGCCGGTCGTTCAGATAGAGAACGCCATTCACGGAACCGTACTCTGAACACGTAGTTTTCACTCACAAAGTTAACTATCGGAAGCGCACAGGGATCTTTTCAACAATGAACTTATTAGACACGATTAACAGGAAAATAATTTGGCGCGTCACGTGACAGAGAATGTTTCGTTTATTTGGAGTCTGCAATCCCCGTATGGGTAAAAATTCATTCAAAACTTGTGCTTTGTGTTAAATGTTTGAGAACAAACTGTACACGCTAGCAACAGTGAAAAACAAAATGGGGATGCTTATATGAGATTTGTACACTTTTCCGTGGCACTGTTGGTATTATGAAGTTTGTATTATTTGGTCGTCTGTTATAGTCTTGGGCCTTGATTGAAGATGATTGAAGAATGATATATATATTAAATAAGTGGTCTCATAGTCATTTGAGAGAGGATATTGAGTAGGATGTCATGAATCAGGTACGCAGTACACCTCGTTGTCTACTTGGTCCTGTGACTGTGCAACAATTCCTGGAAAGAATCCCATGCCTGTTTCATAGACGGTTTGAGTTTTAAAATGTCTCTTTGCTTCCTTTTTATTTACTGAATATACAAATGTACAGTCAACATTCATGAAAAGGGCTCCGGCCATAAAATAGCTAACTGGAGAAATACAGAAATAAGGAAGACGGGTGGCGGTAGAGCGGTTCAAACCCGGGAATTTCGGGTCACAATTTGGTGACCTAACCACTTGACCATCACACTTCTCACACTCCCTCTGAGATAAGCCAGTTACCAGTGGCTGGTGTGATAGGGTGTATCCGCGGGTATCGGCTTGTTATCCATTCAATTCCCCGAAATGCTTTTGTCAAGCGGAGACAACAAGCTGGAATTCCGCAACAGAGTGTATGAAAACAAGTTATCAGGGAAGGAGGAGTTTCAAAATAAGCTCCAGAAGATGAAATATAAAACAACGAAAACATTTCGTCAATTGGGGGCAATGACCATAGCCTGCTGCCGTTGACTAACAAAACGTAATCCACAGACAGTTTCTTCCCTAACGATGAAAGTCAATCTTCAGTTGCCGTTTCACAGAAACTGACCATTTCGGTCGCGCATCTAACCACAAATTTCGGAATGACAAATCTACACCTCTAGTTTTCGACCCGATAGTCTCGCACCAAGAACGATTCTCGCAGAAGTAATAATAATGAAGTAATAATAATACTGCACCATACAATGGATAATCAAGTTGGATCAATAACTGGTACTTGTTTCATTCTTCTATACGAATAAAAGTTGAAAAACAGTGGTAGGCAAGTTTTCAGGATTCTACCCAAACCCAGTAGAAGAGGGCTGCATCAAGGATAGTCTTTTCTCATGGAAGATATATTCAGTGTTTTCGAATAATAACATCTTGTTTCTTATTTAGCGATAGAACAATCAACCTGGATCAACCAAATCCTTTGCCAATCTGTATTTGAAAACGCTTTGGAAATGCTCTAACACTTGTCTGTGAAAAATAAAACTGTGAGCCAACGATTGTGTCAAACGATGCTTGAGATGTCATTCAGAACACATATTTCTGACGACACCAAAGGCGATGATGTGGTGCTGCGTTTAGAACCACCACATCACAGTGAAAAGCAACCCATTTCATTGATTGGTTTGATGCGAAACTACTCTAAGATATTCTACAAACTAAATTAGTCTTATTAAGTTTAGTGTATAGTGTACATTAATCTTCAAGGTTGCAAATAAGCTTCATGAATGATTGTTTCTCCTATATCCAAGGGTATGCCTTTAGTAATTGCACAATGAACGAAAGAAATTAAAACTAACCGGATTCAAACACTGCACGAATAATATTATTATTCACAGTTTCATGTGTTTTCGGTGAAGGAAGTTGCTCGTTCCCATTGAACGCTGATGAAGTCAGAAAACCATTTGAACTGTCTTTCCAAAAGGTCCCTCTCCTCATGGGAAAGTCCTCTCTTCTGATCCGCTTCCTCTGAACTATCAGATCGAGAAGTTTTTTCAACTTTCAGGAGAAAAAGAAAGTAATAGCAGTGGCAACAGATGGAACTAGCAAAGTGGAATCATTTGGCTAAAGTAATGAAGGTTGTAATTCTTTTTGTTTATTGATTATTTAATATACAAAAGACCTTCAGGAAGGGAACAGGTGGCCGTACAACGCTGTTTGGGGAAATAGAGAGAATGAAAATATGAGAAGTGATGGCAGAGTTTGAACTCCGGACTCCTAGGCGGTTAGTTCGACAATCACCACTCGAGCACCGCTACTCATTCTTGGGTTAAATCATTCATGTACGATGGCAGATCTCAGTCAGAACAGAACACTGTCAACGTACACTCACGATTTATTCGGAGAGGAACCAAAATGTGCGTGTGACGGAGAATTTGTCTGTGATAGGTCAAGTTCGGATTAAGATGCAGTGTGGTCTAAAAAACACCTTTTTCCCCGCCTTCTTCCATCATGATATATTGTAACTATGGATTACTTTGCACTTAAGTTAATTCAGTTCGGTTTCCCATTGTTTTCACTTAGCAGCACTTATCTGTAGTAATGTATTGCAGTGGTCAAAATACCGTTCAACATTTCACTGGTACTATCCAACCAGTGTGAATTGCACAAATTTTCCGCAGTTATTTATAGTCGTAATGATGTTGAAAGTCGTATTTAGTTTGTGGGTGGGAAATACTTCATAGCACCTTACCACTGAAGCCACTGTCGAACTCAGGCAACTGTGTTTAAATAAGCTTCTGGCGAAAGAAGTGACTACTTGACCTTGAAAGCGTATAACACTCATATGTTTGAGATTTTATACCTTCCATTTGTGACCGGGAAAAGTTCAAAAGGTGGAACATACAACTCACGATCGGATTACTGATTGGTCGAAAAGAAAAGAAAATGTTTAAAAGATTGCCATTACGAATAGCACTATTTCCACTTTGGTTTACTTCGATTGTAAAGATGGATTATGCTTCGGCACTATAGTTATTAGATTACGGTACAACGCTTCTGTTCTATCGATTCTCTATCACACAGGTTTACTATGCCGGGCGAGTAGCCGATAAACACCCGTTGCCCAATGGTGTCAGTGATCGGAATGGAAACGGGGTGAACAAATCCAATTCTTTGCTGAATATTCCCCAAAAGCATCGTTCTCAACAACTTCCGTCCACCATCCAACCTCATCCAGCTCAGCATCAATCAACCTCCGGCGCTCTGGAGCGAAGAAACTCGAACAGTAGGTTGCTTGCTAACCGACGAGAAACAGATCCTATTCTCCTTCTCTTCTTCTCTCTTGTTCATCAGGTGACCTCACACCGGTGTTCGATGATTCAGAGAACTTTTATCGAGTTATCAAGCATGACCATATTGCCTATCGTTTCGAAGTACTTTCCGTCTTGGGCAAAGGCAGCTTCGGTCAGGTTGTATTGGCCATGGATCATATGAAAGGCATGCAGGTGGCGATAAAAATAATTCGAACGGAATCCCGGTTCACACGACAGGTGAGTATGGAATTCAGGCAGAGTTTCGTTCGATTGCATACACACGTGTTTCGTTCCCCAAACGGCGTTTGTGTGCGCTATGGATACATTTGACGTCAATTTCACATATATATGTACGTATGTATGTATTTTTCACGATAAACACCGGTGAAAAAGTGACGAGTGCTTGTGAGTTTGTCCATACGATGACCGAAAACACAACTAGATTGACCAACCGTGTCGATCTTCACAAGTGAAACGAGTCTGCTATCGTTTGGCATAATCGACAAATATTCGGAGTGGATAACTATAACATGGTACTGTTATTCAATTACGAAAGTTCATAGGTATTCAGATTAAGAAATATATATAGACATCTCGCTTATGTGACAGACACTTCTTCCAGTCCGTGACATGTTCCGTATTTCGAGAATGAATTAGTTGTTGGTATGTTTTTATGTTGACTGTGCATGGTGTGCTACCGTCTGTTAATTATAGTGCTTTCCTTTGTTTTTAAGTTGAGTCTGAAGACCACAAATCACACACTGCCATCATGAATCACTGGATACTTAAAGTTATCTTTCGAGATACCATAATATAATTTTATTCTCACTTTTGGCAATTTCCGTCATCAAAACTTTATGCGCGCGTGCCTAACTGGATACCTAGCATTGTCGCTGTGTAGAAGATTGGTACAGCCAAACGTCGGTAGACAATCAGCTGGTTACTGAGGCCATCTAAAAAGGGTTGGCAGTTGTACAAAGTGTAGCGTTTTGATCAGCTGGTATGTACCCCAACTCACTCAGTGTCTCTACTACGCACAAATTCCAAAGTGATACAATACGTATTTCGAGTCAGTATCCAGTTAGACTGTGTTCGCATGCTGCTGCCTGATCACGAACTAGCGCTATCCGAGTGTTGTGGCCACTTTGAAGTAAACACTCAGATTTTGAATCGGTAATTGTTAACAATGTGTGTTTGTTTGCGTGATCAGGCGCAATCGTGCACACTACGCAACTGGTTGAATAAAAAAATGGTTGACTTCCGACCTTAAACCGACAGTCTTGAGATTTTATTACATAGTGCAACTCAGAATCTGTCATATATGAACACATCAGGAATGCGGTTGGTTCTACTCACATCACCACAAAAAACAAAGTAAAAAGGGCCAGGTGAAGTGTTGTTGATCGTCTGCATGACCGCCTCTGGTCTTTCACGTACCGAGTCACGTGATGTGTCGACCCATGTAGGACTAACTGATCGGTGCTCGTTTTATGTTACGTATGGTTGCTAAAATCTTTTGATATAGCGTATCGACAAAATAGAAGACGAATTAGAGCTAATGGTTCTAAACTGGGGAAAATCTTCATATAGATCATAATTGGTGCAGAATTCCACAACATATGCATTGGGTGAGGCCTTAGGTTTTCAGTTTTCTGGTTCGGCTAACTTTCAGGCTGAAATGCTCTTGCGTGACAGAATGGTAATATGCTAACTGAACTGTTCAATGTGTTTTATAACCTGACTGAGCAGAAGTAATGGTTCAGTCAGCGGTATTGTCAACTATAAATGTTGCTATAAGTGAACATTGGGAGAGACTACTGCACATTTATGTTCTACGGCTTAGTCTAGGGGATTCACTTATATTGTTTTGGCTTAAATCTTCCAAAGCGGCTCATATTTTACCCAAATAGTAATCATTTTTCACAACAGAACTTCTTATTTTGTTGAATTAAATAATACGAACTGGAGTACAGTGGTTTTCGGCTTGGGTGTCAACCGGGGCTCAGACTGTGGTTGAGTCTTGAGTAGAAGAAAGGAATTGATCAGAACATTTTCCAGGCCAACAGGAAAAGCTTTCATCGCAACAGAGAGAGTGGTTAATGGATCTGATATTTTAAATCCAGCTTTGGTTAACACAGTAAAATAGTTTCTTCATTCTCCCATATTACCGTGTGATATTTCTATTGAAGAGTAGTATGTCAATTATTTAATGCTTAAAATGGTTTCACTGAATCAAACCTTCTCTACATTGCTTAATTCATAGTTTTGAAAAGATTTTATCAGTACTGGTTTCCTTACATCTGGTATGTACATTAGAGAACAGTTGGAAATTGAGTCCGGAGGTTAGATCCAGGTAAATGTCGCATATATCGAACGCATTGTTACACGTTTTCAGTTTGGCATCCACTAGCAACTCGTTGGATCACTTACACATTTGCCCTACATTTAATTCGTGTAAATTTCATATGAAGCTTTATTGTATATGTGATTGGACAAAAAGTTACTCTATTGTTTAAGTTTTTGTTTGGCAGATTGAAGTCTTGTGTTTGAATTGTGAAAAGTCCAGTAACCTAAGTGGGATCCGAACCAACGTATGGACACCGCCTTCGCTTTTGTACAACGCACACTCTACCATCTGAGCTACGAGACCACACGGATAGCACTGATCATTTCACATTTGAATCACCCAACCAACTTACAGACGCATATGGCATCCATTAGGTCGCATGTAATCTGACTGCTATTACAGGTTTTCCTTAGAATTCATGGGAGTCTACCGAATGAACTTCTAAGGTTAAGTTCATCGCAAAAGCATGGGCGGCGTCCCACCAAGGTTACTGAACTTTTCACAACTTCAGAACTTTTTTATGACATATGTCAAATGAAGTTGCACCGTATTTTGTGAAGTAGACGAACCGCTTCATTCAGCACCTCTATTGTGCGTGTCAGATTTAAAATACTGCTTGTTCGGCATTTAATCTGGAACTGATTGTTATATATTTTCATGACCGTGCACAAAGTAGGAGAATGACTCATCCTGGATCAAGGGCAACAACTTTCCAGTGCCAGTGTATATTATTTTCACAACTTTTTCCTCTATGTGAGTGTATACATTTCGTGGCTCTGGCCAAGCGGTTAGTGCCACCAACTTGTCACTCCGGAGATTGCGTTTTCGGCGCCGACGCCCTACCTTTACCATCACAGTCTAACTTTCCCTATTTCGCAGTACCACATGGAAGCCGGTTGAATGATCAATTCTCCCTTCCGGAAAAAGTCTCAAATCATCCTTTATATCTATACCGGTTTCGTCTCATTCCAGAATGGATACAGTGTATTTGTTGTTGCATAGCATCATATCCAGCTATTTGATACATACTACTCAATCGTGGTTGGAATTCCCCACATTGACCAACATCAATCAACACGCTCATTAACACACAGCTATGCGCTCGTTTAATCCATTGATTGCCGCCACTGTTCCCAACTTTTCAGTTTATTGAAATTCGATAATTTCGGGTGATACACTTTGGTACAGACATTTTTGGAAAGACATCCTTGATCAAACTATCGTTTGAACTATTATGATTGCAATACAAACGAATGATCACATGTTTGAACAAGACTTAGTTACGGGGTGGGTAGAATTGGACTGGATAGGATTGTTCAACTGTTACGCTGAATTATTGCTTGTTACGCAAGTTCACGGATCACAGTGCAGTCCGTTTTTCAAGGTATACTAAACCCGGTAAGAAGAAATCATTATTTGAGCATCGTTCTTGCTACGAAGTGTGCATAGTTATTACAGTGGTATGCATGTGAGACAAGTCAGGCAGCGAAAGTGAACGACTAACAATGGAAGAGGGAAGGCACGCGTGCGTGCGAGCGAGGGAGGGTGCGAATAACACTGCTGGATGGTTCTTTTGTCGTTGTTTCACTGTGCTCGTGGATTTGTGAATTCCATTGTTCTGTAGTGTGCATAATCATGTTTCTATGTCGCTGCGTGTGATCATGTTTGTCGGTATATGTGGGCACACAGCTATAGTGAATGAAGCACTGAACAAGACTACATCATCTCAGTACCTTCCGGCAACGGAAATCACTTCACACACACACACGCACACGCACAGGAACCATCGCTTGTGTAGGGAAGTACATTCCTTACGGCAGACATTACTCAAACGAAGTATTCGGTCTGGTCAACCATGGTGACATTGGGTCTCCGCTGAAATGGGACAATCTGTGATCATATTTCCAAACTGATGTGCACCAGAGCGCCTGACGTCACAAAGTCACAGATTTTGGTATGGTGTGATTTGGTACACGATGTGATTCCAGGTCGTTTTCACAAACGTGAACAAAAATCAGCATCATTCGATTTTTTGAAGCTTCGAAGGACAGTGTGCGTGTGTGCGTGCATGTGGATAGAGATGATAAAGCACAACCCATCAATGCGAGCTTTTTGTGAGTATCGGTCCTCGCTCATCCAAGCAAAATGATAAACGGTCCGATAAACTACCCGGTAGGCAAGTGAGTAGTATGCTTGCGTTTTACCTGTGAGGTCACGGGTTCGATTCTCGGCTGGGTCGATGGAGTTGCACCGCTGATGAGACCCAACCAGGTCGAAACAGCTGTCCAGTGCGTCCTAGCTTTTCAACTCACGCCTCATTTACATGATGAATCCATCATATAATCAAAAAAGATGAATTTCTGACATTTGGTACCATTTCAATTTGATTTATTGTTTTTTTTCAAACATTTGTTGGATATCCCAACGAATAGCTCTAGTTCTCCTGTAATATTTTACTTATCCACCCTGGGATCATCCTCCGAAACCCTTTGACTAAAACATGACTATCTTGGAACAGATAGTTGATCATTCGTTCTATGTCTGAGGCTTTAGTTGGTGCTGAATAATAGAGAGGAAATTTTGTGTGGGGGGGTTTGTCACTCATCGACGTCGTCGACCGGCAGGGTTGGCATAAAACCCGTGATTAAAAAATATATAAGTGATAGTCTATGAACAAATTATTATCGACTTCATGATTTGATGAATGTATTTTTTGTTTCCACTACCTTTCTGTTCATTAATGTAACTAATTATTTATGAGCTTGTTTACCTGTCCGTCATTGAGATGAGTTAAAGATGAAATGCTTAAAATGGAATTTTAATTTCGCATCATCTGATTCACAGGTAAACATCCTGATGTTTGAAATTCCAGTATTTAAATCTATCCGACTATCATCACGCTCGAATTTGAAGCAAACAATGCCATAGGAAACATAGTTTCATATGTCCCCGAAATTCACCAAAATAACTAATATGCCAACAATCATGCACGCTGCTTCTTTCTAAATGACCGAGTAGATCCCAGGAGTGAATCCGATGTGTGCATTGTTTTTGAAGACCAATTTCATGAATAAGATAGACGACAGAAGAGCATGCCTGACTAGGACAAATTGCCCCCAGGTGATTTAGTTTAATAAACCAAAAAGAGAATGAACCTGAGACAGTCCCTAATCACGATTACTCCATTGAAGGATTGTGCTCATTTGCGTGTCTTCGATCATTCCTTTTTGGGATTATTTTCATTGGGCACTTTCCCTGTCCGAACAATTTATTGCATAATAACATAAACAATTAGAGAAAGAGAAATAATGAAAATTAGAATTCCAAGGGTGAAGTGCGAAACACTGTTCGTGTATTTTTTGAATTTCCAGACTATTGACTGATAGAACTGTAAATGTTACTGTTGCGCCATCGTTGGAAATGTGGGTGTTTTCTCCCTATTTCAAAATAGTTCATTGAAATCCGGCACTAGAAAAGTTGTTCTTACCAGATCACAGAGGCCTCCATCTTTGGTGACGGGGATAAAAAGTTGACGCTAGATGAAGTCAATCACTGTCGATACCAAATTGTCTTAGCAATCAACCGATTTTTGATGTTCAAAATTGAAACGTGCTTGCCAGCTACTTGAAGCTCGGAAAGTAGCACATTTTTCTTCTAGTCCGATGCGTTTCAATTCTCCTAATCTCAAAATTAGAAAGTGGGCTGCGTTGCGTTCCGTTTGTGTATAGATGAACTACGAAGAGATATTCAGTTCACTAGTAATCAGGCACTTTAACCGGTTGAACATTTGTCTGAACAGAAAACCATGCTAAACAAGTCGTCAGTCACTGTTGATCCGATTCCCACTCCAAATCAACGGTCACTCACATCATGTCTCATGCGTGACTAGTCTATTCGATTCTCACTTGGATGAGGCGCTGCTCACTGTTATCTTCAGTATTTTGGTATGCATGGTTTTCACTCCTTCAGAGAACACCTATTCTTCGAAAACCACCTGCACTACATCTGTAATGAGCATCTGCTTATGCTGACCACAAAAGAGTACCGGATATGAGGCTTACGAGATATGCATGTTTACGTTGTCCTCGAATGGACTTGAACCGCAGACGCTCGGGCTGAAAGCTCACACTTGGCATCACCCTGAGCTGCACAGTGGAAGATCAAGAGTTTGAGCAACTTGCTGTATTCATTTAGAATGTTGCGCTTAGACGATTTCTTTAACAAAACATATGAACATGCTGAAGTATCTGTTCAAGGGGTTAGCTATTGACCATTTGGTAAGAGGTTGAGGCCGTTGGCATCGCAATGCAAGGTTCATGAACTGTGTTCCAGCTGGGACACAAAAAGTAACAAAACATCTATGGAGTCCTAAAGGGTAGTAAACAAATTTTTCGTGTTCTTGTTTGGCCATCAAAAAATGCATTGATCAAATGCATTTATGTATTTCCCCTATAACCCCACAAACGTTGAACACCAAAAGAATCTGAAAGCAGGTACATGCATGGATTCTTAAAGCAAGTATTTCAGCTTCTCTACTCCCTAATGAGACCACGAGAGATTTGATGTGTACCGTGTTAACATTCAATCAACCAGCCATAATTTTATCAAATTTACTCCATCAATATCTGTTCCCATATAACGATATGAACGATGTTTGATTTTTCCAAGCCTAATATTTTTACCTTGCTACGTGCCTTTTCTGTTCATCTCCAAAAACGTGCAAATTAGTTTAAAAACGTGACATGTGCACCAATCAACTTATTTTTCTTCCATCACTTAACTGATTCTTTTCTTCTTAAGTGCAACAAAGACACGAAACTAGTGGCTGAATGAGAGGTTGACATTCGGGCAACCTTCAATTTCTAGTACCAGTGATAATATGATAAAAATCAAGCGCTTTATAAACATAATAATCCTTTTCAAGTAAGTACATAGAGATAGTAGTAAAAAGGGCCCAGTCAGAGTTTAAATCTAATGGTTTTCGTTTATGTCAATGAAAAAAAACTCTTTTTACATATGGAAAACCACTCAGTGGTTGAAATTTACATGTTTTTTGTGGAGTATGGATGCAGCACTGAAGACACTATCTGACTATCTGAGGAAACTGTGACCAGAAATAGAAGGTAGTGAATTTCACGATGTACAAAACAAGCAAACAAACAAACGAACAGAAAAGTTTGGAAACGCTGCCAAGCAGTTCCAATCTGTCGGGGTTTCATTGGGATGCAAATCAATCACATTCGAAAATTCCTAGTCTCAAATGTATTGCCAATGTCTTTTTGGCCTTATAATAATCATCTTTTTGGCCAACGCGTTTGATGAATAATAACTTTGTTCTTCATACATGTTGATAATGTGAACCATATGAAAAGAAGAGTTCAACCGTTGACGTTTTGTTTATAATTCAGATTACCTCAAGATATTCTGGGGATTAACCTCAGATGCATTTTCCATTTTGCCTGTTCGCCGAGCTTGGCAGTTTGCTTGCAAACGTTTCATCACCAGCCGAGGGGAAATCAGCGCTTGCATATATAAACGACTCCGATGTAAAAAGAAATATGTAATCCAAAGAATCCTACCAAAAATATAATAACGGTAAATGTTACGCAAAGCTGATTATACGTTTCGATAACAATTTTCTCCAGCAACCTACACATTATCCACGAAGTTTCTTTGAGTTCTGTAGTTGACTGTCATGTTACTGATTGACTCTGCTCGCAACATCCGAATCCTCCTCGTGCTCTCTTTTGCAGATTTTAGTTGCAAAAACTCAACTAAAAACTGAAAAATTTACATGAAAAATCGAAAATTTCTTTTTCTATCCCACCGCGTGTGGCAAACGTAACGCAGACTTTCGCATTTTAGCCTATTTGTTGGATTATGAGGCAACGAATAAACTCTTCTTCAGTTCTATAGTGTGAAAAGTCGGTTCTTCAAGAAATGCTCTCGATACATATTTTGTTAGTCAACTGGACACTAATCTCATTTGGCAGGGAATCACAGGTGTTTATATATAAGCGTGAACCAATCAGATTGTCCGGTTTGCAAAATGAAGTCTTCTACGGACCAATCATAAAAACACGATTGATGCAGTAACACTTTCCAACACATATAGGAATATTCTTTGAGTGTTGAAAATTGCACCTGACTAACTAAACAATTCCTGATACTGCACCGTTATGTCAGATGAGAACTGAATTTTCGGGGACAGAAATTTATCTTATCAAGTGAAACAATTCCAGCGGGCATGAAGTACTGATTATAGGATTTGAAAATCGCAATCAATTAAAGAACTCGAAGCACTGCTTGTGTGTGCGCGCGCACGCGAAAGTCACGCTTTTGCGGTATCCCGAAGATTTGTCTTTCGGGCTGAACGGCACTTTGACAACTACAATAGTTCCTCGGATGCATAATTCCGCGGAAACTCGCTACTTTACCGAAGTGTACTACAGCAAGGCAATTTTCGCATCGCGAGTCCGATACATGGTTCCATTCAGTTCCACTTTTTTCTAATGCACTTCAACGTTCTCCGCGGCTTACGCCAACAGGACTTCATCGAAATCCTAAGGAACCGAAATGAATCTAAAAGCTCAAACCAATTTTCCAGTTTCCCTTTCGGTTGTTTGCGCATCACTAAAAAAACAAGATTTGTCCTTCGGTCAGGCTGAATTTCAAAATGGTTAGCCGTTTTACTCAACTTTAAAGTCATTCGACTGAATGAGAGAAATAGTGCAGTAAACTTAACGCAATAAGAATTGAGAAAAGCGTGGCAACTCTTAGCACGTGCATGATGATGGTTCAAGGTTTGAAGTAATTCTTTTGCTTCTCTGTACAATTATAATTATTTTCGACATGAGCAAAACGATGTGTATTCTACGAAAGAAGACTGATGTTAGTTCATTGCATTTGTGCGGAATGTGGTGGAATGCCAGTTTGCTTAGGAAGATAAACCTGACACTTATGTATGCTACTTGTTCATATTTCATTTCTACTGTCGGTTCTCATAACGTTTCTTGTAAACTGATAATCGCTGCAGATTACATCAATGATTGACTAATTAGCTTAGTGATGTGATCTTGAACAAACTTATTTCGGTAGAAATAACACATTTATCCAAGGCTTTACAAATAGGATCGGTTGATTTTCCAAGTTTTAACACACAAGAAGGAACAGATTTTTAGAACCGATTATCCATTCTTGGCATGCAGGTAGCCCAATATTATTCTGAAACAACAACGCCTATTCACTGCAAAGAGAGAACGCGAATCAATAGGCAATGCATGTGTATTGAATTACCGTATCCATAATGAGCAGCAGTTCTAGCAATAAAAGACCCTTTATTCCCGCGCAATTCACATATATATCGTATTGTTTCTTTTGTGTTGATATTCGAATGCTTTTGAACTGTGAAATATGTCCGTTTCAACGCCAACTACTCTGGCATTTGAATTTTGTACACAGGCACGTGAAGAGATTCGTATTCTGGAAGAGTTACGCAAACTACGCAGTAACAATTCCAAGGATCCCGATGGTCTGGATTTTCCTATTGTTCAAATGTATGAGCATTTCACATTCCGCAAGCACATATGCATGACATTTGAATTGTTGAGTATCAATCTGTACGATTTACTCAAGTTAAACAAATTTGCCGGTTTACCACGGGATCGAGTGCGTCGGATCAGTTTTCAAGTCCTTAAAGCACTGTGTTTTGTCAGCAAGGCGGGTATCATACATTGTGACCTGAAACCGGAAAATGTTCTGCTTATCTGGCCTCCGGAGAAAGATTCATCGCATGCGATGCACAATACCAATGGTGCAGATACATCCGTGAATCAGGCGAATTCCAAAGACACTTTGCCACCTTTCGACCACCAACAAGATTTCATCAAACTGATCGATTTTGGTTCAAGTTGCTTTCAGAAAGGAACAACCTATCCGTACATACAATCTCGATTTTATCGAGCCCCAGAGGTTATTCTTCGATTGGGCTACTCACAACCGATCGATATCTGGAGTTTCGGGTGTCTTGTGGCAGAACTGATCAATGGTAAGTTTGACTATCCGATATCACAATTTGAATAAATTCATGTATCACATGATTGGAAGGTTTTATAAAAGTGAAATGAACACATAAATAATATTTTAGGTAAACTCTAAAGAATGAATTGCGTTAAGAGAAATGTGGACATTCTGAGTTTTATGTCTGAAAATTAAAGATCTGAGAATGTGATCAGATCCTAAGAAATTGAGTTTCACACCAAAAATTGGACGCAAAAGACCATCCACAACTGTAAAGGACCTCATAATCGTCGACTTAATAAGATACATCACATTTTTACGTACCATTTGAGCGTAACAATTAAATCATAAATTGAAATAGAAGCATTTACCTATGCTGCTATTTTCTTGAGGAAAGCTACACGAATATTCTGAATTATCCGTAAACACTCAATAACAGGTTTGTTTATAATCACCGTCAAAGAACGAAACGTCTATCGTGGTATAACCATGGACGCCTGTTTTGAAAGTCTTTGATAGTGCAATGGTCGTATACAGAGGCTATCAGTTGTCTAGAGCAAAAAATTAGAGTCCCAGTTATCGACAACGTTTGGCGTGCACTTTTCTGTTAAAAGGTAGAATACACAAAGGATATCACAGAATGTGTCTGTTTAAAAGTGTCAAATTTGGTCTCGATAATAACGCCGAGAAACATAGATAGGAGCAAATTCATTTCTTCCTTTTACGTATTGTGTTTTCAATTAATGCATGTTACCTTTTCTGACATGTTTCTAATTAAATTTACATTTTTCAATGAAATAGAAAGGATAAATGAAAGAAGAAAGAGATTACATTGTCCATGCATTGCCGTAATCGGCCTATTTTTGCTCCAGCATCATATTTCAACCCATACGCCCCCCCTCAACCCTATTGAATACATCATATTAAGCTCCTAGGAATGTCTGGAAGGCACAAAAAGGTATTGTCCTTGGTTCCACTGTCGCACCAAATGGAACCAACTTCATATCGATACGACTAGTTTTCAATGGATTATCATGAGAATTTAAGTAAGAAGATGGCGAGAGTGCTTTAATTAAGATCTGTGAGCTCGACCGATTCAAAAAACGATAATGCAGAGGGTCGAATACACAACCTCCAAGGAGTGTTTAGTGATCTAAAATCGCTGCTTGTTGGTAAACATTAGATATATTCCATGAAGCAAATGTCTCATAGTAGTTCGCATACATTTTATGAAGACACTGTTTCACTTAAGATCAATCGAATAACCAATGATTTTCCAAATGACTGGTCATCACACTCACCACATTGTTCTCGTACAACGATCATCAAACGACTTATTTGGTTCACATTGTTCAGTTTTTACTTTACACGTAAGATCCGTATAGTGAATGGGTAAGTGCTGTGAGATCAACTACAAGAGAATCTTTGCAACGGTTATTGTTAACTGGATTCTAGTTATGAACCGTATTACCGTTTTACTTGTCGTGGAACGAAAATAAGTTTGTCAACCAAGTACCCAAAAAGCCAATTCATGTAATGAATTACAGTTAGGAACGTCACTACGAACTACTAGTTTTTACCATGTTCATAACAGTGACGCTTTGAAAGATTAACAGCGGGTGGTTAAAGAGTCACTGATCCAGATATTGGGGGTCCTCAAACGATTCTTATTCGCTGCAAATTGAGCACGTGTGAAATGTGAATTGTTTACCAGTTGCTGTTTCCATGATGCATGTGTGCATGTGTATGCTTTTACACGCGTACTCGTCTGTGAGACGTGATCTCCGGCTTTCTGTCTCCCTCTATATTTTACTCACAAACACACACGCACACTTTTCCAGAGTTTTTGAAAACGGATGCATTTTGGGGGTGGAAATTTGAAAGTGCATATTTCACATGCCCCGAAGGCCCCGCTATTCATTCTTTAACGGTGATTTCCAATACCATTCAAACAACAAAGAGGCATAGTTTGCACACAATAAATGGATGTCTGAACCGATCATACCCTGTTTTGTTTGTCCTGCATAAACCCTTTTCATCACATGAAGTTTGTCAACCGTTGATTTCATTCGTTCATTTTGTTCTTTTTTCAAATTGAAAGTCATCAATGTTAATCCATTATCTGTATTAATCATTGTCGAAAATTCTGGTTTGTGAAAAAATGTGTGCTGGTACACAAGCGCACCAACAAAAAGCAACAAAAGAGATACATTTGCGCATTCAATTACTGAATAGCATATCAAACAAAGTTAGGCCACCAAATGCATGTTCTTTATTACAGGCAGTCCTTCTATGAGTCTAAAATGCACAAAACTCCGCACACTATTTTCATTGTTGCTGGAAGTGTCTCTTATGCTTACTTTGCTTGTTACAGCAATAATAGACCGTATGCAAGGGTTTTCTCTAGCTGGATTTATTTTCGTGAGTCTGCGAAGTTTTCTGAATTCGCTTGCTTGATCTTTTTAGGAAAAATGGCTAATTAATCAGCTCAGGGAATCTCCTTCCCGAAAGTTCTTCAAAGATATTTGTTCGTCTATCGTGTTTACGATGTAAGAGATCCCTTAAAAATCGAGTTCAGCTATAAATTCACAATGCTAGATATTTTGGTGGCTTATTTGTCAAGCTTTAATTTTGGAGGTTGGTTGAAACAGCAGTGGTTCCATAACCCAAAAAATACTCAACAGAAACTATTTCATCGAAGACATTCTGAGTTTGTTCCCACTTCTAAAATTATTGCTATGGATTTCTACAGATCTCGGTCTTTAAACTGATCGCAAAAACTCCTTCAAACAAAAAATACATTAGTAACCTTTTGACAGTCGTCACGTGACAGAAAAACAAATTTGTCGTCACGCTGTACACTAATTAGACACCTCTATCGAGAGCATTTTGCTGGCTGACGGAACCGAATAATGCCGTCACTTACTGCCTTTATAGTAGTCAAAAGAAATAACACATATCACTTTGAAGGCGGGATAGTCTGTTCACCGTTGGTTTTGTGAAGCCTAATAATTTCAGTCAGCCAATTATTGAGTGACAACCCGTGGGTGTCTACAAAACCTCAACACCACATGTATTTGTGTCTGGCGTTCGTACTTTTCATTCGCTTCGGTACATTGTGCAGTACATCCCGCGTAGTCTTAGGCAACCTTCGCCTGATCAGACAATTTTGATGGACAACCAAAACCTCACACTCCACAGGTAATCGGTATTAAATTGGCTCTCCGGCACGCTGTGAAACAGAGATTGCATTGCACGGTGAATAAAAACCTAATTTCAAGACTCGATGTTCTTCATGAATAGACTCAAGAATGGGGAACATTGTGCCATCTTGCGCTCAAAGTTCATTTGGTTGTTCCGAAGCATACTCAGTCTGAAAGCACTGTTCATTTGTTGTTGTTGCATGGAACAAAACGAGTCTGTCAATCATCTGTAAGTAGCTAGGATGACACAATGGTGGCTTGAAAAATGAATACTGAAACGATGCTTCTTTTACTTTTCCTTTTCGATATTTTTGATACTGAGTGTTTTGCAGGACCGTCAGGTGAAACTCGATATGTTTTCTATCTTATAGGATAATCCATGTCCTACTTAATAAGTCTAGCTTTATGGCGAAATTGTTACGTGTATACCTAAATGCCTTAAGCAGTACGGCCTGACAGGTAATTTCAAGTAAGACCAGGTAACTGTGTTTGAGATGAGTTGAAGGATGTGAAGAACAGTCAATAGGTCTAAAATGTTTTGCATGAGTAAAGAAAATAAGCAATTAATGTGGAGAAGATTGAGGATTTACTCATTAACAAATGGAAGTTATCGCTGGTTCTCGATTCGCCAACAAACGCACTGGCTTTCAGCTTACAATAAGGAAAAGTGGGTGACAAAATGATCAGAGAAGAGTCACCAATGTTATTCTGAGAAGGGCAGAAATAGATTCAAATTTATTATGGGATATAACTTACAAAGACTTCGCTTTTTCAAATCCCATAGGGTGTTTACACTTTGGTTCGGAACACGATTCACAATGTCACACACAGTACATTCATGAAATTACAGTAGTAAGGTAATGTTTTTTACGTGCACAGGAGAATATATTATGTAGTTGGGTGTTGAAAAGCAATGATTGCCAGTGCATCATCAAGCGTCAGCTTGATGATTACTTAATGGTATTGAAACAACCTGTGTGCATAGGCTATCGTGATCTGGTTATAAAATGTGAGCACTTCCTCGTACCTGTTTTCTGCAGTTTGCGTTGATGATTCAACGGAATGTCAATTAACAGATCCTTATATAAAATCAAATCTGCATGAATAGGAGAACAATGTGTTCAAGTAATTAAGGTCCCACCTATTGACTAAAAGGGTGAGACCACCTGTTCCAGTAATCTGAGTACCGCAAACTGTCAAATTGAATAAAATACTATTAGTTATGATACAGAAAAACAGTTCCACTGTACTTCACGGATTCTAAACTATTCATGTATCTGGCCCTTTTCAGTCAGCTTTATTTGAGGTTATTGAAGAGCTCCTATGTCCGCCTTTTATTTTCGCTCCACTGTTTTGGACTTCACTCCAGGGTTCTTTGCTTTCTCTGAACAAAACAGCTTCGAACTTTCTCTTGAACACCTTGTCATCTCCTCCAACACTTTGTACATTCTCCATTTCATAAATTGACGATCTGTCTCGAACTTAGAAACCTAAACGAATACTGTACGGTTGAAACTTTTACCAAGGTCAATGAATGACTTTGAGAATTTGAGTGATCCCGCAGATGAAAAGCGACCTGGAGCTCCCGTCCCATATGGACCACGAAAGATTTACCTCATGCATATGAGGCTCATCAAACTCTGCTATAGGGCTCCGGAAACCCGCCACTTGCCTTTAGGCATCCTTCATACCTGGTTTCACGCCACCTCGTTATGGGATATGTCAGGGGAACGTTGGACTCTCTTCATCGTGTCCATTCCCTCTATCATGCAAGTGTACGCATCAGTATTTCAGAAGAATGGTAAAGGATAAGCATAAGAGAAAC